TTCTTGCAATTTTTGCAATATAAAATATCAAAGAAAAAAATCTTACAAATCTACAGCAAAAAATTCCATGTAATTCCATTTAGATTTGCTATAGAAAAGAATGCGGAATTTAAGTTTTGCCATCATTTTGGAGGAGTTTTTTCGCAAAAGTCTAACCAGATTTGCGTTCATAAAAAAACGAGGGAATAATCATCGGTTGATAATTTACCTTTCCACAATTATTTAAATTATTTCGATCAATTATATTAGAGATATCACCATTTTTTTGGTATGATTTTTATGTCCATTGATTAAAAAAAACATGCATATGCACAAAATGGTGAGTTACATCTCTTAAAAAAGTTGATTGTTATATTCTTTCACAATCTATATCCAAGACAATGCACCAGAATGATACTGCAATGGAGTGAACTTTTTTTAGGTTGCAAATTTGCCAGTCGAAGTAGAAACGAGCTGCAAATAACTTCCTGAAAGCTTAGAGCAACCATATAAACATATCAGACAGGTTGAAAAACGTTAATGGTCTCAAAGAGACAATAGAAAAATATCAACTCTTGAAAAATTTTCGATTGTCGAGTTTCAAAGACAAAACAGTTTACCAAACGGTTCTCTACAACTCTTTGAAATTCATAAAAGTTGTTGAACGATTTTTTAAATGAAACTAACCCAATTTTATAGAACTCAATCAATGAATATTTTTTTATTTCGCTGAAATTCTGCAACTGAAATACATGTTTGAAACTATAAGTCGTTAGCAACCTGTGTTAGTACTAGCGTTGAGTTTTACATCAAGGCCCTTTAATTTTCAGAGACAGTGTACATTGGAAATCAGCTCGCTGTCAAAACACACTATTTTGTTCTACCAAAGTAGAAATTGAGCAGTATTTTATTTTTCTGTCAATCTAAAGTAGGTTTTCTTCTGAAAACTTTTGTTCCGACTTTCGTAACGAAAGTAACAGAACACTTGTGCTCGGGGTGGTTTTTTTTTTCAGCCAAACTTCGACTTTTCAACTAACATTTGTGACAAATTTTTTTTAATCATTCAAAAGATTTGTTCTCATGTGCTTAAATTTGCAAAGATATTTCACCTGTGACTATTTTTTGTAAAGTTATGGGGGTTTAAAGATTACCATTTTGACCGAACTGGGACAATCAACGCGCGTTATATTTCGCGCTATTAACGCATAAGCGGATGTTCAATTCATATTAGAATTCATTCCAAATTGGTTGAAGGAAGCTTATTTGCCAAAATTGATTTGTTACTAGGAGCGAATGCTGTCACATTGTACTTTATATGGCGTGTGGGGGATAATTTCCACAAAAACTCTCAAATCTAAAACAAAGTTCATTTTATCGTTTTATTGGTTTACCATTAATTGTTTCAGAATTTTCTGTTCCATAGACCTCAAAAAGTATTCGGAACATTTTGGGTTTCGCCCTGTTACAAGCAGTCTTGTTGAACTTTAGTTACCGATTGTAATGAAGATACTAATAATATAACTCGCGTTTTGTTAACTTCTTTTCTACTGCAATACACCTTGCTTTTAGAAAAATGGAACACATTTTTTCCACCTTAGTTCTCAAGCTGTAAGTTGTGCAATATGAGTTATATCAACCGAAAAACTTAATTGTCTTGAGCTTGAATCTACAAATAAATTCACAGGTGATCCTTTTTTGGTGAAACGAAGGCGGTTTAAAAATTGCTACTTCGGACAAATTTGGATAAGCAAAACGCCATATTTTGTGTTGTGAGGAGATTTAACCCGCCTTTCAAAATGTTCCAAATTAAATAAGGGCATGCTATTTGGATTTTTTAATGCTATCATAAATGGTCTTAAATAGTATATATGGTCTATCAGGGGCGGATTTATGATTTTCTCGAAGGGGGCGGATTTTCGAAAAGTTTCTTGACCTTTTATTAGGTCGACTAAGTTGATTTTTTGAGCTCTCACAATCACTATAAAGACCCCATTTTTACCAAATTTTCTGCGCCGCTGGCAAATTTTTCAAAAAAAAACAGGCCAAAACAGGCGTTTTTAGGCATTTTTTGGAAAATTTTGACCAAAAAATTGCGCTTTTTCGGCGCGTGCTACCCTTTCAAAATTGGTATATTTTGGCGCCGAAGAGGCCATTAGAAAACTTTAGGCCAAAAATGGATATCTCAAAATAGTACAAAGGAGGGAGGGGGTCGAATCCCTGAGGAGGGGGGCGTCCGCTACCCCCCCCCCCCTAAATTTGCTTGTGTGGTCTATTCTTATCTTTTTGTTGAAACTTTCGTCACTTTTTTTCAAACCGAACTCTCCTTCAGAGATGTTAAAGGGCAGTATGAAAACTCAGGTGTCGCCCTGATACCAGCAGTCTTGTTCATATTTGCAAATATTTCATTGTTGTTTCCGAATACGTATAAAACACTTGGATCGAACTGTATTGTTGATCATTCAAACTCTTTCGTGTTGGGGCGATTTGATTAAGAGAGGGGGAGGGTTGACGTCGAAAGCCTCCCTTCCACTCCCTCTTCTCAAGCATTTAAGCTCTTCGCCACCCAATAGGCCCCTTTGGTACTATTGTGCGACATCAATTCTCGGCCCACTGCCCATAAAAATTCTCTACAGGCGCCTTTGGCGACAATATATAATAATTTTGTGGGAGAGCAAAAATTTTTTCAACACAGTTGGTATATGCTTTTATGAAACTTTAACAGTAATCCAAAAAATAATTTTCTCAACCTTTAAAAAAGGTCATCAAAACTTTCGAAAATTTTTTGAAAATCCCCTCGCTCCCTCGAGTAAACTTTAGATCCGCCCTTGCCAGCTGGCTCAACTATTCCTCACTTGCTTTGAAATTCCCAACAAAAAAGGGCAAAACTCCTTTTTTGAATAATTCTTTTCTTAGCAGTGTTTCAAAAAACGAAAGCATTGAAAAATCGGTTAACAAGCATTATTGTAATCTAGAGGTTAACACTAATTTTACAAAACTAGACAAGCTAACGTCTGATTGATGGAAACATTATTTATAGATCTAGTTGTTTAGGACTCAGTTTTGACCTCTCTTTGAATTATTTCCGAAGTTCATGACCAAATTTTTTCATCCATTTTTCAAATTCGGGAAATATCTTCTGATCTTTCTCCACTAAATGCAATAGAACTGCTTTCTCGTCTTCGCTCGAATAACATGCTTTATTTTCTTCAGACTCTTGCCTCTCTTTTGTGAACAAATCTATTAAAATATCGCAGCACTCTGTATTGTTTGGGTTGAATCTGAGCCCGTTATAGGCCAGTTGAGCTACTTCCCAGTGAAACCATTTAGAAACCAGAGCATTTTCGTCTGACAGACACAATTGGGCTGCCTCAGTGCACTTTTTGGACATTTCACATCTTTTTTCCACCAATTTGTTTGTGATTTGGACGGGGGCCAATAATAAGCAGATTCATTTTTAGTTCTGTTATTACGTTTGCATTCCCGAGTTTAAAGGATCATGGCACTTTTATGTTTTTAACAGTAGAGTTCGTTGAATTTAGAAAACAAGTCGAATTGGTTGTTTAAAAACACGTGTTATCTAGAGCTATTGATGCACAGTTCAGTACGCTTCAGCACGATTAACAAAGTCTACAAAATACACGAATTGGTCAAAACTTTCACCATTTGACCAAGATTCTTGGATATTTTTAAATGCTCGCTACTGGTTGGTTGAGAAATCGCAATTTTTGTTAACTTTTTCCTCCCTTATATGTCAGGGGGGAATATGATGAAAGCAAGGTCCGTTAGTTGGTCACACCTGCTGGATTCAGTAGTTTGTCAAAACCTACACAATTTTGGAAAGTTCTCATTACCCGGGTTGAATTCCCTACTAAAAATGCTTATCAAATAATTCCATACAAAAAAATGCTTATCATACAATTCCATACAAAAAAAATGCTTATCATACAATTCCATACAAAAAGATGCTTATCATACAATTCCATGCATAAGTTTTATGGAAAAAATGATTCATAGGATTATCATAGGATTTCCATTCATGAAAATTGTATGATAAGCAAATTTTTTCATTGAATTTTTTTTGAGGAAAACCTTTTAAAAAGAGTTTTTTTGGCAAATTTAAGTGAGCTTGATTCGTTTTTCTGATTAAATTAGATCAATTCGGCCCATTTTTTCATTTTTTTTGACGAAAAACTTTTATCAAATGATTTCCATTCTATGAAAATGGCATGATAAACATTTTTT